TATTCCATTGAAACTGTATTTGCATTGGAATCAGTTTGGTTATTCTGAATTGTTTATATTGTATATACTGATTGAGCCATGTGCCGTATCCCTATGGAAAATATTTTCATATCTCATTCATGCTTTAGGTCTTCCCCACACTAATTCAGATGTTCTCCTAGACAGATACATTCCCCCTTCGCTTGAAAGAAAAATTTACTGTTCTGTCTAAATTCTGTCTACAAGACCATTATTTCACAAAATAAATCCGTACACGTAAGAAACAACAAATGATAGTGCAAGGGTAGCTTGCATCAACAATATATCAACTACCAGAAAAGAACATTTTGTCCTTTCATCGTTTCGGCAGACTTTAAATAACAGATGCTGTGGACCAAGTATTGGGTGTTCCAGTAAAGTGGTGTTAGAACCTGCCATTTGGTTAGCAGAAGCATTGCTGTAACTGCTAGTGCAAACGAAAATAAAGAAACTCATACATATTCAACAATTGTTGTCATTTTTGCAGGCACGTTCTACGAGTTGAGCTGCGATACTGTTTCTCAAACACTGCACATGGATGCACACAAAGCTCAGTTTTTAAAAACCTTCATTTTTACAAAGCTTTTTTCTCACTTTGAGGAAGTGTGCTAGTGTGCTGTTTGCTTGTGGAAGAGATGCCCAAAATGTTGAAGAAAATATCTGTATTTTTGTGGCTAAAGCCTTAAATATATACACACATCCAAGATTCCCAAGAAGGAGTCTGAATGCCATGCGTTTATTTCAGCATTGTGACACAAGTTTCATGTCATTACCATACTTTATTCACTAAGAGGACCTGGCATAGAACCTTCATTACATGGCATACACACTACATGAAGTCCTACTTGTTACAGTTATGTTTCCAGTGATTCTAGGGGGCAGTTTCATGTGCAATTAATTTTAAACCTGTAACATTATAGAATTCCCAACATGTTTTCCATAGCGATTCTTTTAAACAGTGCGTCTGCATATTAACAAAGGACAAGTTACTTGCTCCAGCTCTCATGTTGCCTTTCGTTACAGTGGTTATGTCACACAACAGTCCCGACTACATCTCATTCCCACAGTGCAAGTAATGACATTAGAAGAGGAAGAGGGGATATTTCCACCTCGTCATGGTGCAGCTCTGAGAGCACGACAGGAACAAACATATGGCAGTATATACATGTCACGTACAGGGTTAGCTTTCATTAACATCCTTTTTTCACAGTTAGTATTTCAGGAGAACACAGATTCTTGGATGAAAATGGGAGGAAACAGAGGATACATCATAGGATACAGGAATAAATACAGCCTTTTCTAATGCATAATAATAATAATTTATACTGGCATGTATAGCAGTTCTCTTATAATATAATGTATGCAGATAGCTTTCATTCTTGTTTGCTATATGTTCTGATAATGTAGCTGTGGGGTTAATTTCCTCCCTGAAATCAATAATGAATTTGCATGTGCCTCTGTGCAGCGTGATTAACAATTTTGTTGGTGAATAAACACAATCCCATTAGAGTAGCATGGAGATATTATTAGGACATGATGAGGCCCAAATGGATTGAATACTTGAAAGAGTAACAGCCTGTCACACTAATGTACCCACTCGGAAAGGTGCATTATGAAGCTGGAGGTCCGCAGAGTTCAGCGTTTGTCTTTGTAAGCATCCTAGGTGCCTGTCTGACTGCGTGCGTGATACTCACTCAAAGTTTTCAGAAACATCCCCCGACTGACTAGTCGCAAGTGGGCGGTTGTACTTCCTCGTCCTATTCTCTCACATTTGTAGGTAGCTGTCAGGTGTTTTTTTTTTTTTTTTTCTTTTTTTGGAGTTTGGGACCCGGTGGCAGCTGCTGTCACTTGCGTCGTCGGTGTGTCAGTCATTGTTGTCAGTGTCGCGGTGTCGAGGTGACGCAGAGGAGGAGAGATGCTGTCAATGGCTTGATCCGCTTCCTCTCGCTGCTTCATCCGGTTTGCTCAGTCACCATCCTCACGTCGTGGTGTCAGCATGTCGATCTTCCCCACCCCCACCCATCTGTAGACTATAGGATGCACCCTCTCTCTCTCTCTCTCTCTCTCTCTCT